GGATCGGACGTCTCATCCGGTATCTCAGCAGATATTATCCTATCAATGTCAGATGGGTCGGGAAACTTATGGTCCTTGTCAAAGAAAAGCAGTATGTGTGCATGTGGCAGTCCACGCTTTTGGAATTCAATGGTGTAGACAACTGAAAAAATAAACAATAGGAATTGATAAATATGGTTACTAAATATTCGTATTGGATTATTTTTTTAATAAAGAATAAATTATAATATTAGTATACAAATTAAAATTAAAATTTATAGTAAATGTTTGACCTGCAGTAACCTTCCCAAAGATTTGTTTCTCACGAAAATCCTTTATCATTCTCTTAAGTTTTGCCCTAAATACCCTGCAAACGATATCTGGTCTATCCTCAGGACGCAATTTCCTCGGCTCAAGAAAACGAATAATCTCCGGCCAGTTTGGATTGCAGGTAAATGTGACAAACAAATCAGGATATCCTGCCCACCTACAAATTGCCATTGCATCCTGGTAATTTTGAATCATATTCCTAGGACCACCAATGAATGTAGAAGGGAGAATAATACGCTTTCCTCGAGAGCTGGGATCGGTATCGCCACGCAGCACAGCATCAGCCAGACCCTTATACATCTCACAACGAAGCTTTTTCTGATTAAAGCGAATATATCGCAACCTCGATGCTTCAACCATTGTGTAAGCGTCAACTACAAATTGTTGAAATAGTCTTCTAGATGAAAGAATTGTTCGTGGCTCAAAATCCCTATCATGCATACGATATGCAAAAAATTCCCTACAACTAACGTGTTTTCTACCATCTTCAGTCTCCTCTTTAATAGCAGAAAATGGAATATCTTCCCTATAGCCATTCCCTCCATAAGGCAATAACAGTGGATATTGTAAAGCCAGATACGAAGCATTTAGTTCGTTTATCCGTTGCAGACGGCCACTCTTCGATTCAACTAAAATGTCCCTTTCACCTAGAGACTGATCAAAATCACCAACAATCAAAGCAGCAACTTCAGAGCTTGCGGGAAAATTATAACGTCTGGCGTCATTGTATCTCCTTCCTATTAGACGGATTCTAATTTCAGCTTGACCATGATTTTTTATTCTGTCTCTAGCCATACGAAATGACTTAACCAGCTCGTTATGGTCGTCTAACATTTCCTTCAACCCAACGACTATATCCTCGTGCAAGTTGTTGTCACCATCTCTTTGCCTGTAAAAAAAAAAAAATTAAATAAATTGATACAATGAATAAAAGTAGTTCTTACCATTGATATATTGAAAATTTAAAGTAAAAAATACAAACCTCACAGCATTGATTCTATTTGAAATCTCGTTTTCGGTATCATATATGTACAATTGTGCGAATTTTGGAGTTGAACCTTCTGAAGGAAGCAAACTACCCATAAGATGGTAGTTTTGCCCATGCAAGGAAAACACAGGTGGTCCAGTACCCCTATTAATAGCTCCATCAACCTTTCCACCAAATGATGTAAAGGCAAACATGCTATTGTAAGATCTGATGTTCTCTTGAAAATGTTTGCTTGTACGGCTATCTCCAAAGAGCATTTCATTCAGAAAACTGGGCGGATCTTTCAGGATCGGGAGTTCAACAATCCCATTTTGGCAACAACCGCCATAATCTGGTATTCCTCTAATTTTCTGAGTTTTTTTCTTTTCAACTACCCAAAAAAGTGCTCCACAATATTGACATTTCAATATCGCATCACCAATATCCCAATATTCTGCAAAAGGATTATAAAAAAATTATAGTGAATCAACAAACCCGTAATTGAAATTTATTTATATAATTGAATATAGTAAAAAAAAAACAACCTTTATTTCTTGAAGTTGATCCTTGATTTTTCCTAGGTCGACCACGTTTTGGTAACACGGGTTTCGGTTGAACATCCTCATCCTGTGTAAGATCAACAACAACATTTGTGCTCGTACTACGTAGAGTATTTGTATCCTTTCGTTTTCTCGTTACTCGTGATGGTGCATCGGGGCCTATAAAATATTTATTTATATTATCATGACATTTAAAACAATTTCATGATGATTTTAAAAACACAAAAAAATAAATTTAGGACCAATGCCAAAAATAATAATGAAGTATGATAATTACATGCATGTAGAGGACCAGTAGTATTATTAATACATGTTGACTGTTGAACAGACGTTTCAGGAATAATTCTTAATTCAGGTTCATCGTCACTGCTGAGATCAATTATCACTGTTTCTCCTCTACCACTCGTTTTTGCAGAAACTTTTGGGTTATGTTGAGCAGTCAAGTTCGACATCGGACCATACGATGATTGTATATTATCTGTAAGTTGAAATGAAAAAAAAAATCTATAATCTATAATTGAATGAAATTAATTATTTATATACAATAACCCTATATGACATTTGAAATAACTTACTCCAAATGCTTGAATACAAATTTGTCGACGACGTACGTGTCCCGGTATTTCCCAAAACTACAATAGAAAAATAGAATAGTTATTTGAAGAAATTTTAACAATCAATAAATTTATAAGATAAATGTATTGAGTGAAATTGATAATAAAGTATTTACCATTTGTGATATCAGATAATGGCATCCTTTGTGAAGGCTGGTAGATACTACAAGCATTTTGACGTTTATTTTGTGAATCACGCATATCTGATAGATGATTATACATTCTCTTTTCTGAAGCATAAAAACAGTAAAATAAACTTTAAGAATATTTACATTTACATATGAATTGAAACAAATAAACATAATTATCTTGAATTTAAATAATATACAATTATGCATATGATTTAAAATAATTAAAATAATTAAATTATTACACATATATAAATAAATCGAAAATATTTTAATTCCTTTGATATTAAATATTAAGTAAATTTATTGAAAACAATTAATATAGTACACACATATAAAATAATAACATATATAATGTTGATATTAAATAATTTTATCTTTTATGTATGATATAATAATTATTTTTTTTAAAATAATAACAATAACAATATGTGTTAACAATTTTTTAAGTTCTAATATTAAAATTATTTAATAAGTTATATAATTGGACTTTAATGTTGAAAATATTGTTACATATCTATATGGGCTCCTAAGTTTTAAACCTTGTCCAAAAAACTATAAACTGGGCTTTAAAACATTGGGCCGATGAAACCTATATTATTTCCGGCCCAACATATTAACAACTTAAAGACGAAGCATCTTTCGGCAAAATTACGTAACTGCCATTTATACAAAGAGAGTTTATAAATCTACCAACTAAAGAAATCATTTAGTAAATTACAGAGTTTTCTTAAATACGTGAAACTACTAACTGCTAAATTTTAAAATACATCCTCCCACATCAGGTTTTACAAAAATTAATAATATTTATTACAAACTATTAAACAAAACAAATATTTTCACACCATATGAATGTTTTTAATTAGACAAATCAACATGCAATCCAAAACCATTTGATGAACAACTCGAAAAAAGAAAGTTAGAATACACTACCAATTCACTTAACATACAAAAAAGATGCATAAAAGATATAATTATAAAAAACAACCACAAAGCAACTACACATTCACTCAATAGAAAACATAACATTACTCCACTGAAACTAACGTTATCTGTCAAACGAGTTTCGAAGTAACTGCCTCAATAGATCTAGATCTGGTCTTTAATTGCTTTAAAAGAAAACTGACAAAAGATCTGACAAAAGAAAATCTGAACCGGACGAGTTTTGGGCTGCCCAAATTCACCCGTTCGACAACGTCGTCCTCAACGCCGACCACTGGATGACTCAAACCGCTGTCTACGAGTGCCTCCACGTCGTAGGCTGCCTCTACTGTCAGATCCCCGGATTCAAAGACCTCCCCCGTCACCTATGAGAACGGGCCGTGGAATGTCGACGTGCGGCGGCGGCCGTGGCAGAGCAGAGAGGCGGCGCTGCAGGGCCTGGACATGGAGATGTACATGACGCAGGTGGAGGAGTTTTTAGCGGCCTAGAAATTGTGGTCTTAATCATATTAATTAAAACTTAAAAGAGAATCTGATAAAGATCTCAATTGGAAACCGTCAACACGTAAAAAGGTAAAGTATAATGTAGAGGAAATAAAAAAATAAGTATAAAAAATAATGATACAAAACAACACGTGAAAATATAAATAGTTAATGTAAATATGTATATCACGCCATTAACTCGCATCTTTCTGAGATTGAATGGTTAGAGTATTGACTTTGTTGGGCGTCTTAGTGGATGAGGTATCATGTTTAGGGTTAATATGGTCTATGGGCTTGGGCCTGATGCTTATATATTGTTTATTAGAATTAGATAGTATGTGGACTTTAATAACTGTATTCTTTACTCCAATGAGCTTTGGTTTTATGTTAATCTTTAATTATTAGTTAAGCCTTTATGGAAAGATAGCAATTATTCTATGTAATAGCCTTGTAGTTCATTAAATATTTATATATACATAAAATTATCACTTATGCTAATATATAATATATAAAATTATTAATATATTAAATAACAGTTCAACCACTGGTCAGATCAGTGAACCATTGAATCAGTAGTTTGACCGGTTCGATGACTGGTTCGGTTTTCAGAACATTGCTTAATCGTGCATAGCATATTCCAATCACGTGTAAAATAACCAGAAAAGCAGCACAGTTGAAAAATCATAAAGTACAGGAGTGATAACTTGATCTTCTGGCCACATTTGTTGCGATGTTTTCATTCAAGAAGGTTTTCGAATTTTCATGAAAAAAAAAACACGAGTAGAATCGTTTTCCACATTC